ACACACACACACACACACACACACACACACACACACACACACACACACACACACACACACACACACACACACACACACACACACACCACACACACACACACACACACACACACACACACACACACACACACACCACACACACACACACACACACACACACACACACACACACACACACACACCACACACACACACACACACACACACACACACACACACACACACACACACACACACACACACCACACACACACACACACACACACACACACACACACACACACACACACACACACACACACACACACACACACACACACACACACACACACACACACACACACACACACACACACACACACACACACACACACACACACACACACACACACACACACACACACACACACACACACACACACACACACATCCGTCTACCCTGCTCTCTGCCCCAGTTGGTGCTGGTACAGGATTCAAATGCACAAACTGTGATACATCCACTACTTTGCCCAACAAGCTACTAAAATTCATAAAAGACAACCATTGATCAACCATATAAATATTTAATGGATTACGTGGTGCAATAAAAACAACAATAAGATTATAAAAGCATCAGTCACAGGAAAAAAACAAATGTTACAGTAGTTTTTGTGCAAATGCAATTCAGTTTCGCTCACTTTCTGTGAACACCCTCAAAACTAAATGTGGAAGTCAGTTTGGCACTTTTTTATTTCTCGTTACACTAGAGAGCGTTATGTTTTCCTTTGCTTTGGACGGCTTGAAGAAAGGGGAGAAGAAATGAGCCCTTGACTTTTTTTCCCCAGATCTAATTCTGCCATCACGACATCAAACCCCTCCCAACTCGCTGTGTCTTTGACACGAATAACAACAACCTTTTTTTGAACACGACTGTGCGGCCAGCCGGTGTGTTGCTACGGACAGAAGATATTAACCACAATTTGCCCCCCCCCCCCGTCTTCTTCTAAAACACGCAAGTTTTAAGGGCGACTCTTTAATCTCAGGAATGGAAATAATAAATAAACCTGAGCAAATTCCTCTCGCTGTCTTAGAGGGGTCTGTGATTCCCTTTTAACCCAAACAATTAGTCTCAACAGTCCCCCGTGGCCTGATAAATATGAAATGTTAAAAATCCATTTTCAAGCCAATTGTCCATCAAGAACAAAAATACCTAATATCATCCTGAAGTGCATCAATTCCACAATCCTTTTGAACACTGGAGCCAATCTTCAAAAGTCAAAAAAGAACAAAGAACTCTGCGCAATCTCACCGCAGTGCAAGAAAAATACATTTCCCCTCCTTTATATAAAATCAATTAACACCAAACTTTGTTTTTGTCCTATAACTTCAGCTACAAAATGGCTAGCCTCCACACACAGGATGAAGACACCGGGGTGCTCAGTCTGCCAGAGAGTCAGTCACACCGAGGGGCTTGTGGAGGGCTCTTTGGGCCCCCATTGTGCAATAAGTAGGGGTCACCCAACAATCTCAATTCTCGTTTTGTTTATCTACTGTGAGCGTCAATACATCTTAAGTATATAACTGCCCATATTTCAACTTCTTTTTGGTCAGTTTGCGAGAACACCTGAATCTCCCCGAGCCCTCCGGCGGCCCCCCCCCTCTGTGACCTCGCCGACTCTACCCTCTGACTTAGGAAAACACATTGCTTTTAAAGAACGACTCTATGGATTCCTTTCACCAATACTGTTGAAGGACGGATCCTCGCCTGACAACACCTCCCTCCCCCCCGTGACAGGGGAGGGGGGGGGGGGCTCTGAACGCAGCTTTAATCTCTGCTTTTCTTAGCCGGAGCCAAGGCACTGCTGGATCAGAGAAACCTGACATCCATCAGATTCTCTTTTCTTTTTTTTTTTACTACAAAATAATTGCATCTGCTTTTTTTTTTTTTTTTGTAGCTTGTGCGAGACGAGACCTTTTTCTTGCATCTAGAATGTTCAATTCACAGTCTTACAAAAATACTATTTGTCGATTCGAGGTAATTCAATTTCTCAGCAGATACGTAAAATAAATGTGATTATTTTCTCTTTGTTGTACCAGTTTGGTGAAAGGCAATTGTTTTTTTAAGAATACATGTGGTATTATATTCACACGACATCTCAACACATGCAAAAAAGTGTAAAAGTACTTGCAGCAGTACTTGTGTATACATGTTAGTGGTGATTTGATTTCAATATCACAAACATCTTACATAACCCTCAACTCTTTAAGGACTTTTTGATCTCTTAGCCAATTATAGTTGTAGTTTCTCTTCTCTTTGACATGTGTAGCAGGTTTCTAAGTTGTGAAGCCTTCAGTCTCCCATACATCAGCCTCAAAACTATTTCACTGTCAATCAAGTGAACTCTCTGCAGTATTACACAACGGCAGAGCGACAGCAACTGTTGTTCAAAAACAAACTGCTCTGAGAGTGCATCCCTGAAATGCTAAGATGATCCAGCTTAAAAAAACTGTTATCATTCTGTCAACAAAGGATTTATGTTACATCATTTCATGTCCACTTTGAAAAAAAGCATTGTAATCCGCTTGCATTACGTTCCATCTATAATTTGTGAGCAGATTTTTTTTCTTTCTCATTTTGCAAAAACCTTTCACATGTTGTCAATAACTTTAATAGAGCTACAAGCACTCAAAGGCAGCATCCAGCAGACCTCGTAACACAAGCTGTGAGAGACGGAGAATTTAGCAGCCCATTTGTCCTTAAAGAGCTATTTGAGGGTACAGTGAGTACAATGTATAAAAACAATGGGAGGGTACAATTGCACTTATTTCAAAGTAGTAAAAGAGTGTAAGAGGGGAGCTAATGGAATGAGTAACTTGGGGTGAACTCCTCTTTAGCTGGCTGGAAGGGTTACATGTTAGAGGCATGTTACATTGCTATGTTATTTGCTATTCTATGCACTGTAATATTGTTATAGACAGTGGCACTTGGAGTACAGGATGGTATGGCTTCAGATCAAAGTGGATCTGCTGGGGGGACGGATGGGGCCAGCAGTGTCAGGTTGGGTTCGGAAATATTTGAATTTACGCAGATCCTTTCGGGTCATCTGGGGGAAAATAACTTGCTAACAATGTTATCACTCTTTGTATGTCTGCCAGCCGTAAACAAATTATCGATTAATTTTACTGGCTGCTGACAGCACTGACATACAGACATTTAAAACATGACATCGCCAGCGTCGTGAATGACAACCCAAAATAAACTAAGGTCACCACAGATCTAAAAATATCTCAGATAAGAAGCTAACGGCGTCGAATAAGTGTTCAACTCACCAGCAAGCATCCCCCCCCTCTGCTAAGGAATAAATATGCTCTTAGCAAAAACACCCTTCCTCTCTTATCTCAAGAGTACTCATTAGTAATCACAGGCACAGCGTACAAAGGCCTATGCAATATAGTATGTGCACATTTCTAAGCGCACTTAAAGGTTCCTTTGTCAGTATTATTTCACTCAATTTAGCGCCACTTGAACCACAGATTGTTAATTAGTCTCCATGTTACACTGCTGACCCCATAATGAATGAAAGCCATCAAATCTCCACAGATTAGAGCAGGGTTCCTACACATTCTCAACTCCGACCAATTTATCTTGCTTTTACCTTTGAAATGCTGGTTCAATATAAATGGGTCTTATTATGCAACCAAAATATGCAGCTGCACCAAGTACGACAACATGGGTTCTCCACAAAATGACTGACAGCTTACCAAACACATTTCAAACCCTGTGTAGGAACCCTGATAGGATGAAGACATGCATAGAACATCAGTGTGACACACGAACAAACAGTAGCATAACTACTCATTAACATTAAGTGTAATTCTCTTCGACATCACGCCCCAGATACGAAGCCTTACTCATGTTTACCCAGACCTAACCAACCCAATCTAGGTTTACCCAGATATATTTTATTTCCCCTTGTCTAACCCATAAGTAGTGACCGGAAATTTTAAAACAAAACAAAGGAATGGTCACACTTAAAAGAAACGCAACAATAAATAAACGTTTGATGGGAATGATGAACTGAGGGATCCACACCTGGCTGCAGTGAGGCTTAGCTGAACTTTCTGTGTCTACCTGGTTTCTCACTGTGAAGTAGCAGCATTATAAATACTGAATTCAGTGCTTTAAGAGAACGTTTGTGTGTGACCATGGGACCTCAAAGTGTTTCTTGACAGCCTCAGCTGTTTTATATCCGCAACACTTTGGACTGCATTTGGCTTTATTGCACTTTCATCAGATTCACTTTAGAAGTCTTAAAATAAAGCACTGGGATGGTGTTTAGCTATGTGATTAATGGCATCATTCATCAGTTGTGTGCAGCCAACAGGCTGTTCAATGTTTACAGCTCTACGGCCAAGCGCTCCCTCTGCTGCAGCGTGGCACGCAGACAAGATAACAGGTGGGCCGTGGATTGGGTGACAACAGAGGAGGAGCGATTCTTGAGAAACCCCACCAGGGAGCCCACCAGAATCACACGGCTCTCCATGCCTGTCCAGAAATAGAGGCATTAATTTGCCAACTGTGATAAACAGAAAGGCGCGAGCTGTACGAGTGTGTGCTCGGAAATTCCCTTCAATTGTGAAAGTCTCATAGCCTTGGCTAGCGACGTAATCACATCGGTTTAAAGATGGAGTCTTGTGTTGCGTAATGTTTCACATTAGCTGTGAGCAACTCTCATCTCTTGACAAACATGTCTTAATTTTAATTGCCACAAGTGACCCATATCATTTTGTCACTTTAATATGATAACTGTAATGCACAACTCGCCAAAGTGCTAACTGAGCAGTAGGAAGTACGGCAAACTGCTTCTGATTGGTCATGTAATTGTTTAAAAGCTAAACCCTTTGATGACACCACAAAGTGACATAGATAATAAATGGACTTCTGTGTGACCACACATTGACCATAGTGGTGGAGCATTCAGTACATAGACCCGGTGCCCTCCCTGCCCTCCCTGCCCTCCCTGCCCCCCCCCCCACAGTGTTTCCCTCAGAGTTAAATGACACAGATGGAGGCAATGGACATACAGACAGATTCTATCAGGGATCAAACAGGTCAGGCTGACCCTGCAGCTCCAGCTCACGGTTGAATTGCTCCACCTCTTTGTTGGCCTCGGTGATGTACTCCTGGATAAACTCTCCCATGTCTGCGGTCAAAGCAATGTAAGGAAAACAGCAGAAAATCTCCAAAGCAGGCTGCGAAATAAAAGAAATCATTGGGTTCTAGTCTACCAACCACTCAATTACATGCACAGTTTTTCATGATCACGTGCTTCTCAGGGTCAAAATGTAAGTAATGCACAACAGGCAGGTTTCTCTCCTTTTTGTTGCCTTTTAAATCCGAAAAATCATCAATATGTCAAGTAAGGCTGCCACAATATCAGACTTTTGCTGCACTATTATCACGGCCAGAACCATTCAGGTCATGTATGACTGCGATATGTGTAGAAATTGAAAAATAAAAAATATTTTTTTTATTAGAGATTTAAAATAATATTTATAATGCTGTCAGTAACATTTTAATTCACCCTGTTTCTTGTGCATTCCGCCCTGACATAATTGTTATTTTTTTAGACATCATGTTTATCGTCAAAAACGCAACACCCTCATCTCCAAGTTTGAGAGACAAACTAGGTGTAGTTAAGGTTCTACAATACACCGTGGCGATTAGAAAAAGGATACAGGGATGGAAGTTCATTTTTTCTCCAAAGATGTCGACATATTGATAACCGTTGTAGAAGAAGCCTGGTGGCAGGGGGTCCAGGTGCCTGGTCATCTGAAACACATAATATCAAGTCATTTCCTGAAACAACCCACATTTCAACCAGCACAAACTCCAAAAAAAGTAATCTAATAAACATCTCAAAACAGTTCAAATCAAACCACAACTGATAAATGTCAATTGAGGAGTTCTCGTAAACAAACAGTTGTATTTACATGTATTGTCAGTCAAAGACCATATGCATGTATTGCTGGGGTCTATCCAATGTGTTGGAGCTACTGTCACCCCCCCACCTGCCAAATGTCTAACAGCCATCAAGCCTTAACCAGCAGCTGGAGAGTGCAATGAGTGCATGAGAGTCATTTAATATTGGTGCAAGCTCATAAAAACATTGAGTAGCTTTATTGCTGTCCCATCCACACCATTGGTAAATATCAAATGATATCATAATGATAAGTATAAACACACTCACATGTATGCTCTTGATTTCTTGTGGTGAGAGAGTACTTTTTGTCTTCTTAGGTTTATTTGTCTGCCTCTGAAAACAACAAACAGAAACAATTATAGAATATATATACATGAGTCTTAGCACTGTGTACTGCCATCAAAAACAAAAAGGTTATTTAATATAGGCTTTGAGTAAAATGCTTGTGTTTGCGCAATCTAGAGAGGAATAGCTAACACCAGTGCGATTTTGGTGAGATTATGACCATCCTGGCCCAAATTACAAGGGGGTGCCAGATCCCGCAGCCATTGATGAAAGCATTGCAATATTTATATAATTGCAGTAATAAGAAGTCTTTAGTGACAATATCATTATTTAACATTTTATTAAAAACTAGGCACAGGAAATGCAAAGCGTTTGTCAGTGTATTTGATACACGCATATGCATATTAAAAACAAGACAATGGTCATTTGGGGCATTCTTACAGCATCTGTTTGATATCTTGCCAGGAGTAATTGAACAGGAGCAACCACAGTGAGAACTTGCACTGTTCACAAACTCATGCAAAGTAAATGATGGACGAAAAGCCAATTATTGCCTAATATATATTAATACGAAACCTGCAGTATTAAACCCACTTCCTGTTACCACCAGTAAATACGGTGTGGTCAAATTAAACAGGACTTCATTCTTAATGCGTGCCACTTTAAAAGTTTACCTGTTTGGCGCACAGTCTGAGCCAGTCCTTCAGTCCATCCGCAGTGAGGCCCACACCATCAAAGACCAGGAAGCAGGGGGTGCCGGTGTCTTTGGGGCCCGGGGTCAGAGGGACAATGCTCAGGCTCCCGCTCACTGTGTTGTAGCTCACCTCCATCAGCTGCTCTGAGTCTGGAGGTTCCAGAGATGAAGGAGCTCACATCAAGTAGCACATGCATTCACACCTTGTGTAACACCTTCTACAGCAGCGTCATATGGAAACGGCATGCTGTCGGTGGGGTGTTAATGTTTCAACATCTATACAACCTCTCTGTTCCCAAAAGGACTCACAGAACTCACGTGTGGTAAGAATTATTAAATTAAAACATGTGCTTACTCAACTTGAAATATGTATTACAGTAACATACAAAAATAACTAATACATGAAGTAAAACAACTAAATATAGAGTGATGTAAATCATACGGTACCCTTAAGACATTGACTGACACTAAGGGGATGTGAGTATTAGGATAAGGATGGTACAGTACAGTCTCCACATTCGCTCCATACTGCTGTATCCTCTCGCCTCTCTACAAACATCTGCACATTCTCTGCACATCTCCTCACAGACACCTGCACTCTCTCCTCATGCAACAACGCTACACAGGTCGTCAAAAGAAAAAAGAGTGAGAAAACTATGAGGAAGAAACTAAACCGGTGGACTATGAGCTGAATTCTAAGCACCAGACACCAGAGCAACAAGCGAGCAGTTTTCCTACCGTCAGGAGCGTCTTGCCCGCCTTGAGGGCAACCTTTTCTCTAATAATTCCCAAAACTGGGAAATGCAAACGCAGGTCAAACAAGTCACATTTCAACAACATCTGATTTTACATTTTTCAAAAATTATCAAAAGACATTTACAGACAATTTTTTTTTAAATGTGTTCCTTCCTACCAGAAAATCGGACTTTTCCCCAAACATTGTACACATTTCCTCGGAAGGGGGTCAGCCTCAGTGATGACTTGAGTCCTACAGAAGAATGAAAAGCAGTTAGAACTGTAAAACTAACTGTTGAATTAAACAATTTATTTTAAATGATTAATTCCTGAAGGGAAAACTGGCAGCAGGTTGTCATAAATGGATCCTATGGGAGGACAGATTGTTTCACAGCAACAGCAGACAATTACTTTGGGACCCCAGTTGTCTCCATATTTGGAGGGAAAGGCGGCTTATGTAATCCTCATCAAACACTGCCAGCTCGTATCTGGAACTTGTCACGTGTAACGGTCAAAAAAGGGGGGAGAATTACTTTCCATCTCACCTTTACAGCGGGTGACAAATAGAGGCCTCTCGAGGGGCCTGTTGAAAGCCACGCGCTGCTGGGTGAGAACCAGAGAACCAGACCCGGAGAAGAAGCGCCCTTTGCACCTGAAACACAGAACACATGCACATTACACACAGGGTGAGAAAGTGAAGTTGAGAGCAAGCCAAATGTGTGTGCTACATTTTCACTTTGGCTGGAAAGTTGTTTACTCTTTCAGCTCCCCACAGGAAACAGGACACTGTTGGTAAATGTGCTGGTAAAACTGTAAAACTGTGGAAATGGTAAATCTGCACTTGTGTACATACTCTCATCAACAGGTGTAACATATTATGTTCTTGGTTAAAGGGTAAGGAGGTGTAAGAAGCAACTCAAAACACACATTTGAACATGAGTTTATAAAAAGGTCCAAACACTATCCAGTGGATGATCTGAGAGGGGGGGCTTAGCAGAGGTTCATATTAGGCTGCCCACCGGGGCATGATGTCTAAATGGACCCGGTCCAAAGAGAAGGAGACCCCTCTGTGTACATGGCAACTGCATGGCCAACAGCCTGTTACTGTGCTGCCAGGAGGCAGCTGGTGATAGAACACAAGATGCCCTGAGGGGCTTTACAGCAATCAGCAGCCGATAGCAGCCCAACAGCAATTAAACTGCAGGGAGGGAGACAAGGCCGGGGAGGGAACGGCGGCCAAAAGGTTGAGTGTGGACACAAGAGGACACCTGGGGGGCTCAACTAGGAGAGGGAACATAGGGAGAGGGTCTCACCATCCAGGGTAGAGGACGTAACGGGCCCTTAGCATTTGAGGCTCATTGAAGCTGCCCTCAGAAAGTATCAGATTCACATCTTCATTCCTAAGTGATACAAAAAAAAGCACAATGAATACGTAGCACGTACAAATACATTAAAAAAATGATTTAAAAATGATTACTATATAGCAGTTGTGAGAAAATAGAGACAAACATATGTTATCTTTGACTCAACACTGTGTGTGTCATTTATTAACACAGCTAAAAAATTTAAAGGAAAACCATTGACAAATATTACTCTTAACACTATGTTTCCATGGTAACACAATGACACTGTCCAACTGTTACTGTTTTAGTAAATCATCACAGAAAAGGAACACACGTTGATGGTGGTGTTTACACACAGACAACGGTTAATAAGATGATTGGAGTTCGTAATAACTAAATTAAACTTAAATTAATATTGACATTTTGTTTTAGGTACAGAATGCAGTAGGAAATGTTGACACATTGTTTTCAGTGGTCTGATCCAACAGATCCAGACAAAGACTCAAAAAGTGGATAATAATACAGCCTGGAGTGATTCTTTTCTAGTCAAAGATAAAAGAAGTGAAATGGCTGTTTGCGGCATTGATCATGATTCTGTGGGCTCCTACCTGGTGACAGCTCCTCTCTCTGCCAGTATGAAGGCAGCGGTGGGGTTGGCAGAGCGTACCAGCTGCTGAACATGCTTCATGAGAGGGTGCTTCTGCTCTGCTGTCAGCCCGGTGAACACCACTGTACTCGCAATACCTGACATACAACCAGGCACAAGAAGAGAATATGAATTCCAGGAGAAACTGGTACTTTACTGAAAATACACAATTACGTCTATATATCCACCGCAGGGAATGAATGCCACAGTGAAATACGTTAAGAGTGATTTATTGGCATTGCTGCTGCTGTGTACAAACAAGCAGAATTTGTCATTGGTTTTACTTCAAAAACGATTATTAAGATACAAAAAGTAAAGATAAATAATTATTTGACTGTCAGATTTCCTCCCTGCGGCCATAGGAGGAAGCGGTTGGTGCAATGGGCAATTTGACCTTGGTTTGCCTTTTAAGTCAGGTCAAGTCATTTTCATTTTATTTTATATAAGTGCTAACAAATACCAGTATTTTTTTGTATTCTTACAACCTTTTTCTTATATTTTGTAATGCTAAATGGAGCACATAGAAGACCATAGACCTTTTAATGTTATTTGTTGACATTAAGTTACAATTATGCTGTCATAAAATGTATACAACTTGACTTAGTTACCAACAATCATTACTTTCTTGACCTTCAATGGTTTTATATGTGGCAACATGGCATATGTTTGGAATGGCTATGTTGAACTGGTTCAATAAGAGCTTTTCACTTCTGAAAACAAATCAATAACAATGAATATCAATCTGGTGTTTCCACAGTATCATGTGAAAGCAGTTTTGACAGGACTTACCTTGGCTGCACTGCTCCAACAGCTTAGGGAATGTAAATCTGCAGTAACAGACAAGGGACAGAATACAAATAATATAAATATAAAGTATATTGTCAAAATGCACAGTTAGTGACCTAAGATTGTCACTTCTGCATTCAGGATAGATTATGTTGAAATGAAGTTGTTTCTACATGTAAGAGATGTGTTTTTATTTATTTATTTAATTAACAGGACTCTTTATTTAAACCCATGACAATCACTCTATGTATCCCTAATGGGTGGTTGCTAAAGTAGTGCAGCAATAAACAGTCTGATTCCATGTTATGGCCCTTGGCTAGCAGTCGGGTTATCAATCGAGAGGCATTTTTCACAGGATGACATCATGACAATGTCTGGCAACTGGCCAATGTGAAAGCTTTCTGTAATCTCATTTGATCTAAACATAATTTATCCTGAGTTTTCAAATCGATCAGTGTTATACACCACTTTCTGAATAGCTCTCCTGAGCCAAGTCCGCCTCCGGCCCACACGGACCCTCCCCTGCAGCTCTTAGAGACTGCAGGCAGAGAGGGGGGGGATCAGCAATTTGAAAGGCATTCATCTTCTCTGTCCTGATGTAATGAACTGTCTACATTCATCACAAAGAATGGATCATGACTGACTGATGAGCTTCAGTGAGGAGGGTGAGTTGGTCGCACACGTGGACCTGGGGGGATTAAGAGGGCTCTTCTGGAGGGGTTGACGGGTGGGTCAGGTCTAAGCTGGGCTAACCACACCCAATTAGCACCACAGTGGGGGCCCGCAGGTCTCCACTCAATCTATGGCAACAGACAGTGATGGGGGGCTTGTTGAAAATGCCTCGCATGGATCAGTCAGTGCTAACCACATTACTAACTAAACCTCTTATTACACATTTTTCCACTGCGCAGCCAAGTGGGGCTTTCAGAGTTAAACTATAGGGTTAACACGACTTGTTATAGCAAAGGATGCTAAACATGTTTGAGATTTGTTATTAAAGCTTTGCTCGCTAGAAAATCCAGTTTGATTTTTATCATGCGTATATTCTATTGGATTTATCATTGTTATTATATATATATATACGGTATATAAGGGCCACTTACGTGCATGTTTATATTTCAGAAAACATGTTTATGTTGGCATGACAGATTGCATTTGCTTTGAATACTATTTAAATTAATACCACTGTGTCTTTGTAGTTTTGTTTATATTGATATTATTGGGCTATGCTACTGTAAATGTATGTTTCTGTTTCTGTTATTATTACGACACGTGATAGTGACATAACGCAGCCTTTAGTGTGTTATGTCCATAAGAGTGTATCTGCGTTATACCAGTAAGATGCTGGGAGTCTGCAAGCTTGGATTGAAACAAGTTTTGTACCGTATTAGCTTGTAGTGAAGTTTTGTATTTACTTATTGCAGTGTTATAGTATGAATTTATCAAGTCTGTATTTGACCGCTAAAGATGCAATTTGGATAGTAATACCCTGTTATGATATCCTTGCAGAATAAGTGGCCAAGGAATTTACATTGGATCAACAGCACTATCTTTTGTATTAAATTGCTAATGAATCGAGATAACAGCAGTAGTTTTCCAAGCATGTTGGAAAAAGTAGACCCTCTACCCTGACTTCATCTGTATGCAAGTTTCAGCGGGCAGCGCAGCTTGGCTGTGCAGTGGAAAACAGCCTATTACCCGGAGTGGTATGTCATATTGTGCGGAGCAGCTCAGTCAATCTTCCACAGTGAGAAGCTCTGTAAGCTACATCTAAAGCCTGTAACAAAAGGAGAGTGAGATTAAATGTAGGACTGATCCTCTCCGTAAAAGGGACCCAGCCTTGAGTTTTAATAGCTAAAAGTGTCATGTAACCTCGTCGTGAAAACCACCAGCGCTTACACAATTTACCAACATCCGGCCCTGTCTGTCATCATCTGGTCCGTCCATATGTCCCAGAAAAACAAAGTAAACCATCCACTTGAACTCAGGTTCTGTTGTTGCTGTGTTTTTGTGGCAATTTAACTTTGCAATATAGGACAAAACAGGATAACATAACATTAGCTGCTACCTGCATGCAACTACATTTGCAAACAGGGGTCACAAGAACCCTTCTAGTCATGGGCAAACTGTTAAAAATGTTGTCATAAAACAGGAAGCATAAAGCGTAGTTTGCTTCTTGCAGAATGTTATCATTATCCTGTGCTGAATTTCAAAATATGCAAGTTGAAAGTCATTTGATTTTACACAGCAAACAAAACCATTTCAGAAGCTTTACTTCTGCATGAATGATGAGATGCACCTTAAATTGTACACTGACGTCTTTGCTTGGTCTTTTCGTCATCCATCACACTTCACTTAGTTTCTAGTTTATGAAAAGGCAATTTTCCAGTCCGTTTGGCAATCTAGTCAGATAGGAATATTATCTACTTCAGTTAGACATTGAAGTTTGCTCACTTTGGGTAAATGGTAACTCAGAAACAAAAGTAGCTAGAAGTCAGTGGACATGAAATGATCTCATACAATTCTTTATGGCAGTCAATGCCCTTTTGTTTCCTTCTTTCTTTTAAAAACATAGTTGAGACAATAATGTACTGGAGGAAGAAATGTTCACCTATGCTCCACACAGGAGGCGAGGGGGTCCACACAAGCAGTGACAGCACCGATGGTGAAACACGCCTGCACCACAGGGTCAGGATGGAAGAGAACAGCCTGCACCACATCCAGAACGTCTGTGTATCTGCACAAGTAGAACATATTGACAAATTACCATGAACAGAAATGAATTCAAGGTAAAAAAGAATGGACTGAATTGTGTGCCATCTCAAGATCCAGTTACCAGAAAATATTACACTTATGATTACAGCACAAACTTGGCCAATGTGTGTGTGTGTGTGACATTCCTTATAAATGGCTAACAGCGTGTCTCTAAAGATGCGTATCATTTCACTGTAACTGCATGTGGCTGTTAGCACTAATCATTGTGAATTAGACTGTTATGAGGCTCATTTGCATGGAATGGGGTTAATGTTGTGTCAATGTCAGCATATTACCCAATTAAAATACCCTAACCATTTGTGTATCCTTACAATGCAATGCAATAGGCTTTTGGTTTTATGGACTGGGATGAAATTGTTGGTATTCAAGACATTGGATGATGAACGTGAGATAAGATATCTTACCCAGGTGAGAGCACCAGCAGACGGGGTTTGCCTCCCAGGCCTCTCTGACTCTCCAGGAAGCCGGACAGATACTGCTGCAGGTGAGAGGCTGAGAAGCTGTCACAGCTGTCAGGGTCAGGCTTGTACACTACCCACCTACAGACGAAAGAGAAATATAATATTTACCATTTAGTGGTTGTCTCGATATTCTTATATCCTGTAGGGCTGTCCAGAATACCATTTTTTGGGCTCCGGATATTCGGTAGTAATCAGCAGCGAATATTCGAATATTCGGATATTCGGCGCGCGCTTCAACACGTGTATTTCGGTTTATTCAAGGCATTCATTTTATTATTCTACAGTATTGTTGTTTTATAGTTATTTGTTAATGTAAATAACCCAATTTGTGTTCTTTGAAATTGAAAAGGATATTGCATTATGTTACTTTCGGTGCAGTTGTATATATGTCTCAAGTGTAATTTGGCTTGGCTTCCTATTTTGTATGGACATGCTTTTATTTTTAAGTAGAGTTAGCGCTGTTGACAGGAAGTTGTTGTTGCTATGGAAACTACGTGACGGACAAAAGGATCGGAGATAAACGGAGAAAAGTAATATCTACATATAAAGACGGAGAAAGTCAACGATAAAGTTTATGGTTAAGTGTTAGCACCCCCCGAAGAGACACAAGCTCTTACTGTACGTTGATATTGGAGATTTCAATAAATTCAATTTGACAGCCGCAGTGGGAAAAACGAATATCCGAATAACGAAATTGAAAACCGAATAGTGGGCCAACGACCGAATATTCGGATATTCGGGTACAGCCCTAATATCTTGAAATAGCTACAACATATGTAAGATAAGACACACAAACAAAATAAAAAATGCTGGATGATTTGTCTCTCACCTTCCACGCTCCTTGTTCAACTGGACCAAGTAGTTGCAGAGCCTCTCCTTATGGCTTCCTGGTAATCCAGTGATGATGGTAACCACAACCTTTTTACACATGAAAATAAACACATTAGATTTGAATCAATTAAATTAGAGTATGAAGAATCCTTTTAAGAAACCAGAAATGTTTTTTTATTCCACTTCGCCTTAATCAGTATGCTTACCTTGTTTCCCAGACTGCTGACTGGGTTCCTCAGCTCTGCAGAGGGGAACAGCACCCCCAGGTGGTCGTACAGAATGGGCTCCTGACCGATGCTACTCAAGGCGAAGTGTTGTAAAAACCTGATATAGACAAGAAAACAACATCAGTAAACAAAAATCAGGTCACAACTGAATGGCAAATACTAGATCATTGTTTTTGCAATAAACATTTATATAAAAGCACAAAATCAGTGCTGTACAGTATGGTTATTTGGGATGTCTCATTAAACCAGAAGACAGATCTGTGAAGACCAGGAAGCTGAGTTAACCTCGCATGTGGTCTTCTTTGTTTCAGCTTTAATGGAATGAAAGACAATGTGGGTGCCAGATAATGAAGCTTCATTGACTTGCATACTTTCAAAATGCTATTTTGGGAAGGCGTTATTAAGAATACCCAGCATCAGGTTTTATATTTTTTTGGGCCAACTGTGAAGCTGTGTGACTTGTGAGTGTGTACTAACATGTCCTGCTCTGGCAGCTGGGAGTAGGAAGTCTTCAGGCTGCCTCTGCGTTTGGCCACAGGAGGCTCCTGACTGTCGTGCAGCTTCTGCAGTCTGCTGTGCCTGAGAGGGAAAAGTAATTACAACATTACTATATTGTGATTTTCATGCAGATAGTTAACCTTAAATACCTACTTTATAGCGCATCTCAAAGACTGATTTGAATTTATCTACAAAATATGTAATAAAAAATGGATAATGATGTGTATCGCAAAGCATGTAGGATTATTAAAATATTGAAGCTTGATTAAACATAAAACACCAATGGTATCGGAAATCCATTAAAAAAAGTCTGCATAGCGCATCAATGTTTTCTGAAAGTGTGATATTTCAAGGCAAGAAACACTTTCTGTTCTCAAAGGAATGTGCAATCTAGCATAGAAACAACTCATCTTAAGATGTAAAGGGGATCAAGTCATCTTACATATTTTTCTGGTTCCAGGTCAGCTGCTTTTGGTCCACCATTTGCAGAGGGAGTTCAGATTTAGAGTTTTGCCAAACCGACAGAACCTGAAACAGAGAGAGATAAGGTTCATACAACTGGAGCTCTGTAATGAGCTTATATTAAAGAAGTAGATATAACAGTAATGGATCATCCATAAATCAACACAAAACCACAACATCCACAGCTCACAATCCTTCAAAAAAAGTCCTAACAATAGTTAATACTTGACAATCAATATTGTTTTAAAATGATATTGCTCCATTAACAGTTTTTACCAGTGGTGTGCTTAGAATACTAATACACAGGCATGGTGAGAGACTGAATCTGATGACCCAGGGCTATATCCTATCTCCTACCTTGTCAGAGGTCACTGGTTAAAGTCTCACCTTGGAATAGAAGGCCCTGTGGCTCTTAGACCTGGGCTGAAGAGCAAACACCAGACAACGGTCAGCGCTGTGGAGGGGGAAGGGGAGGTGGGGGAGCAGGCTGCTCTTATACTCCACCAGGAGAGACGCCACAGCACTGGAGTCCTGGGAATAAAAACACACAGAAATCATTCACAAGTTGGAACCAGAAATTCAACCGCTTATGGATTCATAGTATATTTGTATCCTTGTTTTGAAGGGCAGCATGTAAATATCTGTCTATTTTGTATCATCATTATACTATAGTATGTAGCTGAAAATGTATCTTGTTTATAAAAATAATATATGTAATCATATGTGAGACATGACTGTAAATATTACCGGATCATAGAACTTGATGGTGCTGATGTGATCCTTGGACAGGGTAATGCTTCCATATTGAGAATGGATGAACAAGAGTCCCTCAGAGAAGAAAATGATTTTTCCTAAGATACACATTTTAAGAAATGTTAAGAATCATGCAGAATCACAACTATTTGTCAGATAAGGTATGCCTTTACCAGAATACTTGAAAGTCAAAGAACATCTTGTACATTTACTGTCACATTTAAACAGAAATGAATCCATGAAATAGTCTTATTCACAGGGCAGCGTAATAACTTAACTTTGGCAATTGATTTCAGGTTAAGTGAAACAATCTAAGAATATGTATAGTTACTGTATATGAATATAAAAGGGGAGTGTCACCTTCTTCAGGTGAGGAGAGCAGGCTGCTGGAGAACACGTACGCAGCGTCTGCTACAGTCAGAGCTGTTCCCAAACAAGTGGCTTCCTCCTTCTGTTAAAGACACGTATTGTAAGTGATGAGGTCACATGATCATACATACATAAACATGTATTCATACTAAACATGGAGCTTCTGAACTGACCTTAGCAAGATGTTGGGCTTCCTCCGATTGCTTGACGTCAGATTCCATCTAAGAACAACAAGAAGCAAACAGTGTTGGAAAGAATGTTTTCCTAAAACTAAGGATAAAACATTGTGTTTTTTGGATAGAAGACAACGAAACATTTGTGTTTTTGCAAAATTACAGTTCAGTTTATATCACGCATGTTCATCACATTAAAAGGACATGTATATGTATACCAAAACTATGTATGCTTTTATGTTGACACTAAAAAAGGTTAACATTCTGCATAGGGACCCTGTGATTCAGACCCACACATACCAGCCAGCAGGCATAGCGGGGCACGGTGGTCGTCAGGACGGTGTAGCAGCTGTCTGAGGACACAGTGCCATCTGCAGGAGAGCAAACAAACTTGTAAAATAATCGAAAACTAACAACAAAGCCAAAGAAGGAAAAACAAGGAAGAGGAATTTTGAATTGGAACCTTTGAGCAGCTGGTTTTTAAAAATGACTTTTGCCTTTTTCTGTTAACAGCAGCCTGTGGGATTCCCCTGCTTATTTTATAAATCAATTTGACATTGTGGAATCAAATCAGCAATTCCTTCCAAACACACTGAATCTGATCAATACCGTACCTTTCTGCTGAATGTTGATACTGGACTCCAAGAAGGATTCAGAGAAAACCACCGAGCCCAGGTCCCCCCCGCCCCACTGCAGGTCAGGGATGTCCTGGACAGTCATGGACGCCTTGGAAAAAAAGTAGATTTAGTTAAGATACATTATATACACAATCATTTTCTTGATAACAACAACTAATATGTTTTACTTCTATATAACTTACTGTTTTAACTAAATAACGGCTTTTTTCATCTGTCAGAGGAACAATCCTGAAAAAATAAAACAGGCTGTTAAGAAATGTTCTAGGAGATGTATCAAAAAATATAAATGCTTGCAAAAACCAACAAGGACTAGTGAACACTCACCTTCCTTGGTTATTTACTGCTTGAATGCTGAAGTCACATTTAGATCTAATAAAAGAAAACAGAATGATATACAGATTCAAACAATACGTCACTTTTCATCATGGCTCAGTCTCACACTGAATGAATTATGTACCTGAGATAACTGCGGTACTGATTTAAATTCATGGTGTCCAAAGTCAAAAGAAAAGTGTTCTCTGCAACATCCTTAGCCTGCAACGATAATAAAAGCGTAATAAAAAACTTCACAGTTACAGTATATGCTGAAAGATTAATGTTATAATAGGTGCTCTTTTTATCTCACCTTGCTAGTGCTGGAGGTACAGGAGAAGCATTTGATTCCTGACAGGACTGCTTGAACAGCAGCTGAATATATCTGTGACAAAAGTCTGTAAAAATACATTATTAAAATGATTAACAATGGCCAACCAATAGCTTACAGGATAAACAAATTGCAAGATCCAAAGTGAATAACTTACAAGACTTCTGTTTTCTTTTGCTTTGTGTTTTGATTTCCTGAGGATGAAATACAAGCAAGGGGACAAAATGATATACTAATAATACAAATAAGGGCTTCTCAAATTACATTTAAGTCCAAGCCCTCACTCCAAACATTTATCTTAACGCATAGTAACATTCCCCACTAACTACACCTAGACAGGGTTAGTTGGTAACGTTTTAAGACTTGGGCTAACTAACCTGCTTTCAAATGTGATGCAATGGACAATAATGTTATAAAAAACATAGTTATTTCACAAATTTGCAGCAAAGCCTCACCAAGGTATGGAGTGTGGGTGGTCCCAAAGAAATAGGTCCGGGAGCAGGCTAGAGGCCCTTTGGGAGCCACACACTGCAGAACCTAGTGGAGAAAAATGTGTTTATTTAAAAAAGATAGTGATGGCAAGAGAGGATTTGTAAACACTGCTCTTAAACACCACCGATTGTACCGAACTTCTTCACCAGGTGGAGCTGCAGGCCAATTTCTATTTTTCGTTAAGAGCTTTTATGGTATATAAAATATGTTTCAATTTGAAAAGCTGGACAGTTTTCACAGGGCAGGTCTTATACTCTACTTAGCTCTTTGCAGTTGCCTGGCCCTTAGTAGGGATCCTATGGTGATGCAGGTTTGCAGTGTAAGCTACATCATACTGTTTTCCACTTCAGGCTGCTCACCATGTGTCTGGCTGTAGAACCCGGCGGTCCTGTGTTGCGGACTTGATGACTCTCTGAGGGAAAGTTAAATGAATAACTCTCCAAATCCTCTAAAGACGAGTGCTTCCCAAACAACACGAAGGGCTGCTGACTTTTACTGAAATATAGAAACATTTGATTAGGCAATGGAGTTTTTTCGACAAACTACAGATGAGTAAAATTACAGTATTTAGATATTGTTGAGTAGGAAACAAAACCTTTTATCTGTGATGTTGCTTGAGATCAGTCCATGAGAGTAATAAGTACGGAATGACTGGGGATCAAGAGACAAAAACGTTATGCAGACATGTACAAAAAGCTAACTGCCAAGACATTGAACTATGCCATTTAAAAGTATACAGCTAATGAATGAGAAGTAGTTTAAGCGGACATGTAATGGATCTATTTCCTTTGCTGGGTCCAGCTGTTTTTTTGTAGGAAAATGACAACAAACGTACCTCTCCTGCCTGCGCTTCAGAAAGCTCCAAGATAGACAGATGGCTCTCCAGTTCCATGCTGGAGAAAAAGCCACTCCACTGCTTCTCAAAGTTAACCAGGTCCTAAAATACAACAAACAACACCAAGGTTAGAGCGCATATTGAACTGATGGTCATGTTCAAACCTTTACATTCAAAACATAACTTATAAAACTTATGGACAGCCAAAAATATTGTTGTCCCTTTAAAACTAACTGAAGAGTTAATTAAATGCATCATTCATCAACTGACTGACAAAAAAAACATGTTCACTTTAAACAACATAATTAAAGAACTTCTGGACAAGAAAACGTTCAACAAAATCTTTTCAAAATTCAAACAGCAGAAGAAAAAGTAGCTCAAAATTACCTCTATGAGGAGATGATCAATGGACACTGGGTCGAGTCTGTTGTAAACCTGCCACAGCTTCTCACTCATGTCCATTATCTGTAAAAGCAAGAATATACCAAACAAGCTGTAACAAGTATAATGTAGTGCAACAAATACTTTCCGTATGAAATGCATTTTCCTTTGCGACACTTAAGAGCTGACAATACATTTATGTTTTAGGTTTTTTGAAGATACCTTGTATTTCATGGTAAAGAAGCTTCCTCCACCAATGCCTTCCAGGGCAAATGCTTGAATCAGCGGCCACTTTTCCAACATGAACATATCAAAATTCTGGATGTGTCCTAAAAATAAAAGAAGAGCAAGTATAATTACATGTGTTGTTATGTTAATTTAATTAAAAAAAATAAGAAAACGCTGTCAAGTAGGACCAATCACATTTCAGCTTAGTGAGATGTCATGGAGTTGGTGTGGGAAGTTACATTAATGCACATCATGTGAGCCATTCCAGACTGAAAATACTGAGAACCTGGCACATTGTCTGTATATTTAGGACATTTCTGCTCAATGCTACCTCTGTTAAAACTGCACAGCTCTTTCAGTTTAATTTATGTTATACTATATACATTTCATTTTGTATTCCCTCCTTTTTTGCAACTTAATTCTTCTACAGTGTTTACGTATGCATCATTGTACACCAAAGCAAATGTCCTACATGGGTAAAACTATGCGGAAATAAACATGTTTCTGCTTCTGATAAATGTGGAGTTTAAAACAGATGATATTTACCCTGGGAGCTGAAAGGTACACCGATACGATAGCAGTCCTGCACCATTGTGACAAAACTGGAGATTTTGAATTCCTCTGCTGCTTCCTCATCTTCATACTGTGTGGAGGTCGAAAAGTACAGAGGTAGACAAATTAAAAAAGCATCTCAGGAATACCAGTCACAAACACTGCTACAAGGAGTCATAAATACAATTCAACAAAGGCAATCATTATCTGAAGAAGCTAGCCACCTGTACACAAACAGTTTTGTTAAAGAAAGTCAATCTGCTCCTTTTACTGTGCAGTCCCTGTTGACAAAGTGTCATATTTAAAAGGACTTTTCTAATGGACATGCGCACAAAGTGACCCAAACGGGTTCAAATAAAGCCAGATGGATACATTAACATGCCTAATTACTCTTGATGAATGTAATCATCTCTCTTAACCAAGCATACAAGAACTATAATTATCAAAAAATATAGGCCTGTAGGGTAGGAAAATGGCTTTTTACCTCCGCCTTTGTCATGCAGTAGAGCTGTAGGTTCCTCCAGTGGGACACGTAGGGCAACAGGTAACTGTAGTTCATTGGGTTGCAGTACAGATGAACACAATCTGCCTTTATTAGCAAGATAACATCTGGAAGCAGACAAGTAATGTGTCAGAGTGGATTACAAAAATTAAAGCTGCCTCAAAACTGTGAAAAACAAATATAGTTAACATCACTTGAAAACTCACCATCTAGCATTTCTTCAGGAAAATCCTCAAGAGCATTTTCCAGATTCAAATGATTTCTTCCATATAGTCCATAGAAGAGGAACTTAGCCAGCTCAGTGCACCCCTCATTATATCTGCTGTCAATTCCTAAAATACACAAGAATGTATACATATTTGTTGTTTATTTTAAATCAACCATGCAAATTGTTTTATTCAACACATGGTCACATTTAACATGATATCCTCTAGCATGAACAGTTGGTAGTGCCGTTAACCAGATAAAGACATAAAGGTAAAACATAACCTTAACATACCAAGAGAGCACAGGATGCCATCAGGAACAGTGCCAGCCTCGCAGAGCAGAGACTGGACCTGACTCAGGCGACTGCAACTGGGAAATGTCACAATAAAAACAAGGTACACAGTCATTTATTAGGTATTTACTTTAAGTTCAGGTGAACATTGAGCTAAAATTTTCACTTTTCACTCCAAAAAGAGCAGTTTAATAAAGGTCAAGGTTAAGAAAGGAAATACAAAGTCCAATTTAATTGATGTTTTCAAAGAGTTAGGCCACATAACAGAGTTTGATATCAATGATCCTAAAAAAACAGCATGTTGGACCTTGTTTGAAGTTTAAAAAAAAATAGAAAATTAAATAAATACAATATATTGCATTCATAAGTCAGTATGAAAGCGTCACTTTTCCAAAGATTTTACACCATTTTTTCGACACCACAACATTAAACATGTTTCGATCACCACATATTTCGACAACAGTTTCTTATTGAAAACACACAAGATTTCAACATTTTGACATTGTTTCAGCACACTAAAAACAATATTAAGTTATGACATGAGCCTTAACGTTAAGTTAACAATGAATTGAGTAAACGTTGACGGACATATTTAACATTAAGATGTTTTGTTGGTTTGTTTTGGGGGTTGCTAACGTTGATTACCAAAGATCCCAAAATAAACCGTTAAAATCAACGTTAGCTTGACGTTTTGGCAATAAAAAGACAACTGACAGATGTGCAGGGAATACCTAGGAATGGGTGTCATGGCTCCACTACTGTAGCTAGCTAACGTTTAATTATTCATACAGTACGAAGGATAGCTTAACCAGCAAACCAGTATATAATGAAGTATCAGTGTGGTAGACACTTTTCTAACGTTAGGTCCTTTACGTTTCTGTAAACAGTGCCCTTAACGACAACTAGCAATGCTGTTTTCTTATTACATCTATGCCAATAACGGATAATGCTAACGTTAGCCATGTTAGCTCAACGGCTTCACTGAGGCGTTTTCTGTCCACGCAATTCGATATTAACATTACCTGACAGTCGGGTTAATTCCCGAGATTTTCCCGTTCACTCGCCTCAAACCGGCCATGGTTATTGCTGCCACAGTTCACACAATTAACGTTTTCAACGGAACAACGTTATTTATTTCTCAGGACGAATAACTCGGCTACATATTTTTCATCACCCTGGAGAATGTCTACAAAGGATAGCATAGCAACGGTGCAGACCATGTAATGCGTAGGGGCTTTCAGAATATATTTTAAATCTTTGGGGGTAATAGTTAGAATATGTAACCCTTATTATTATTATTTCAAAAATGTCTCTTTAATAAAGCACCTTATTTAGGTTTTGGCCCAATAAAGCAGTTAACAAAAATAAATGTTTACGAATTTGACAAACATATCCCCCCCGTTTAACACTGTAGTACTGCCTTGTCGGGCCGTTTCGTTTTGACAGCTGGAGGCAGCAGTGCGCAGCAGCACAGGGAGATGGTGCAATCCCTCAGTAATCCCAGCTGTTGAGTATGTAGGGGGAACTCCTTCATATACTACAGCTGTGTCTCTTTTATTAATATACATGCATGTGCAATCAATTATCATTTCATGTTTGTTTCTTGTTTATTATTGTTTTACACACTGTCATTTTGTGATATTATCTTCAGTAAAACTAATCATTAAACGTTTTAACAGATATTCCTTTTTGTGTCTTGTATGTTAAACAGCATGTTCACAGGGAGGTTATCTCACATTTGACCTGCATGTCTTGGCTCTAATGACTTTAGTTTGCATCTCTACAGCAAGGCTGATTCAGCACTAATAAAGACAATAAACAATCACAGGATGCCTGCTTTTTGTGCCCAGAGCAGCAAACCAATGGAGTCAGGTGTGAAAAGGAAACCGAACCAGGCCAAATGATTAGGAGTTTTACTAAACCCCATAATGGTTCAGTTCATAATGTTCACTTTAAATAGGCCATTAACTTTGGAAATGCTGTTGTAATGTACTACATTTTGGGAAGATACATCTCTACAATATTATAGGGACTCACGTACTGCATTTTAAGATTCAAGGTAAATTATTCCTGTAGTAGTTATGGTTTGTGTTCATCTCCAGGACATGATCAAGTAAAGGTCTAAATATAAATATAAGCTTCTGTTGGTTTTAGGGTGCATGACAAAGAGATGTGTGCTTGTAGAGAGTACTGGTTTTTGAGTGAAGAAATGCTTGTGAGTGAGGGAACTGAGTTTATCATCAAATGTACAAATTCAGGAATGTATCATGTGTACGCCTATCTTATTGAGCATAAAGAGGAGTAAAAGAAGAAGTACAGCTGCTGGATTTATTCACTTTTGGATTTGCCTATGATTTATCTGACACATTTAGAAGATTTGCTTGTTGATATATTGATTGCCTAACAGTTACATCCTTAACATCATCCTTCAGATGGACTCATGTGCCAACAATCTGATTAAACATGGATAAACAAGATTGCCCTTAAAAATGTGTTCAGTTTTCTTTATTGTGCAGCTTTAATTTATATTCAATTTAAGGATTTACAATAAAGCCTGTTAATCCAAAACACTTATTCTACACGGTAAGTAAGAAATCAAGGCAGACATCTGAATGTGATAAACTGTACTTTATTGTTTCCTTTATAACGTGATGGGCAATCTGTTTTTAAATGTGTTTGTAGTATGTTTGCAGTATTGCAGATCAATCTCTAGAGCATCAGTGAAAGCAGGATTTTTTTAACTTCCAACTGCTTCAGTGGGCTGCATGGTGCTGGTGATCCACTCAGTGTAGAGGGAGATTATGGTGTAAATTCCAGGCTTTTTAATCTGGCCACACTTCTTTCCTCCGTTGGAAGTGATGCCCACTGCGACGCCGTTGTAGAGCAGAGGACCTCCAGAGTCACCCTGAGAGACAACATAAACACACTTTCACTGCAAGTTTTCAATTTAAAAGCTGGATAACAATATTAGCATCGGTAAAGAACATGTCCTTTAGGCCAAACAACCTACAGTAAAGATGTCATCATACTGTAGAAAAGGGGGAAAATCCCAGCTGTGAACTTTTAATAAAGACATAACAATATATACATGTGAGATACTTTTACTTTACTTGGGTATTTAAATGTCTTTCTATTATAATTCAATACTAAAAAAAATGTATTTGACAGCTTTAGTTAGATTCTGATGAATAATACAAAATATAATCAAAATATATTCATCATATATTCTATACAGATCATGAGATAAAATATTATTAATCGATTATTTTGATTGACAAGCTTTCCCGCAGTGTATAGTAAAATAAAAAGTTATAAACATATTCATGCATCAATACTTCCAATTCAATATAACATATATTATTGTGGAATGGACCATCATGCATTTTGAGTACTTTTTCTTTTCCCTTTTACTTAAGTGCATTTCGAATGCAGGAATTTTACATGTAACAGAGTTCTTCTTCATTGTAGTATAGCCTCTTTTACAAGTAAAGTAAAAGATCTGAGTACTCCATTCCCCAATGCATAACTTTACTCATAGCCTTCCAAACTTAATGCTGTCTCTCCCGTATGTGAAGAATCATTAACATTCAGTAAAGAGAATAACTAAACCTTACATCACACGTGTCTTCCTTCTTGTCAGGTTGGTCACAGGGGTCCGGGCAAACTTTATGAGCACACATCATGTTGTTGGTGAACTTCCTGCCAAAGTAGTCGCTGCGTCTGCACCGGACTGAGCTGACCATCTCTATGACCACCTCCTTCAGCTTGTCTGGCCTGGACCCCAGATCATCCTGGGACCCCCATCCAGCCGAGTCCACCTCTTCATCTCTGCCGGGGTTTGTGCCACCTGTTCGCAGGAATGGCACTGCTTTAACAGCCTCAGAGATGTTGAATGGACGATCCAACTGAAAAAAATCAAGAAAATTGTTTAAAAAATAGAATAAGCTTAATATCCATAGTTCTGTTGTTGGCTTGTTCTACAAAACAGAACATCATAGCAGTTTACATTTCAGTACCGCTGATACCTTGATTAAAGCAATGTCATTATCATAATTTGAAGCGCTGAAGTCTGGGTGATTGTAAAGTTCCATGATATCAAATGTCTGCTTCGTCTCTTCAGCTTCACTCAGAGAATGGACACCCAGCACTACCTGCCTTCCATTTGGCCTGTGAAAAAAGAACAATAATTATTAATAATTCAATTATCTCCAAAACATTTCAACTGGAACAGCGTAACAAATTAGCAAAAACAGAATCTCCCCCAAATAAGGTCTTGTTGTTGTTGTTGTTCTTCTTCTTCTTCTCTCCTTCTCCTTCTTCTTCTCATTCTGATTATTAATAGCATTGTGAAGACATATTATAATTACAAAAGAGCTAAACTGAATATGTTCCTAAAATACTCCAAATTAGGTAACAAACTAAATTATTTACCTAAATATAATAATATTTCCGCAGAAGACTCGCAAACTAAATCCGAGATACATTCCCTTACAAACTGGGTCGTTTCGAGGAATTTAAAGAAGTAAATATTTAAATAAATACTTAATATCTTAAATGTATTCTGTCCACTGGGACCAAATGGACTGTATACTTGTTTATCTGAACGTAATGCTTTCCTCATTGCAAACTACATTGATCAGAAGAGGATCTCCTCACCCTGTTGGCAGGCAGTGCACTGCAGTCATCACCCACTGATCTCCCACCACAAAGCCTCCACACTCGTGTTTCATGTTCTCTCCTTCAGGAACCTGGATGGAGGCCATGTAGGGCCGAGAGTGTGCCACCGCCTCTCTGCCACCTATTATGCCCTCACCTGAAATAATCAGAACACACCGAATAACGTTTTTTACATTTATGGTTGGATAGAGTAGCAGTATAGCAAGGGAACTTCAAAGCCCTACGGCTGGGGAAAAGCCGTTCAGCATTTATGCAAGGCAAGGGAAGTTTATTATCACTTTAGACACAATGGGCTTTACAAAAAACATCAAAAGCATTCAGATATAGTGCAAAATAATGTAAAAACAGTCATTAAAAAAACAATTAAAAAGTCATTACATCTAATTTTGATTGACTTTTTATGCATTTATTAAATGAAATACTTATTCATAACTAACACTGCACTGTCACCTTTTTATTTTTAAATTCCTGTCTTATTCTATTTGTATTGACACCCTCGGATGACATTAGTGCCACCTCGATTTAAGACTTTGTTGTTATCTATCTCCGTGTTTTTGACTATATAAGCCTGATGTTTTTTGCTGCTCCGGTGAGCAACATACCCCATGTGTGTGAGTTAAACCATATCCTTTGTATGTGATTTAACTCTGCTCCTTCTTGCAAGAATAAATGAGTACCTGATTATTGATTCTCAACCTGGTGTCGAGTGATATTTTCCTAACACTGTTCTAAACATATCTTAATACATTTTAATTGCCATGTTTTTTAAATGTTGCCTTGCCTAATTTCTATATCGAATCGTATCTGTAAGATATCAGCAAAGTGCTTGGAAAAAATGTAAACATTTGCAAATAATAAACAAGACATTTTTCAGAAACAATAGACACATTAATACAGGACAAATGTAAACCATTGAGCATGAACTACTCAGAAACTAAATCTAAACACATTTATCTTTTGCTATGAAAGAAAATCCACTTACTGTGCGAAATGAGGGCACAAACAAAAGCTGCAGCAGCCACAAGGACGTCTTTCTTTAACACCATGATGTC